ATGATGATCTTTGTTTACTTTTATACATGTGCCTGCATGTCAGTTTATCTGTATAAAACAGAAACACATTTTATAATTGCATTTTAAAATCAACACCTTACAGAACGCGCATGACTAATTTTTTTTAATATGAGTCTTTAGCTAAGCTAGTGTCTGTGTAAGACTGAATGTCCACAATGCAGGAGAAGGTTGCAAGAAATAGTAAAGCTTTGTCAGCTTTCACTTTCCACAGTCTGAAATGTAATTAAGACGTGACAATTTATGGAAACTGTGGAGGTCATGAGAACTGAAAAACAAAGAAAACTCAAATCAAAACCCCCATGTACCTTCATCAGTCCACAGCACTGATGAAGGTAAAATAAAACTCTGCATGTATGTTTGACGAAAAAAGCATCTGTCATGCTTTGGGCTTATGGTGCAGCCACTGGCACAGGAAACATTGCACGGGTGGAGGATATAATGGATTCTACTAAATACCAGAAAACTCCAACAACAGGATACTGATCCTAAACATACCTCAAGAGATGCAAGCTGAAGGTTTTGGAATGGCCCTCAGAGTGCCCTGACTGACAAAACCAGTGATTTTTGGGGGTTTCTCAGAAAAGTAAGTTGAAAATATTAAATTAGCATTTCACTACGTAGTAGAAAACCCGTCTAAATAAAGTGTAACTACACCCTTCAGTTCTGCAACCCCCCTTCTTCTTAGTAAATTAAAAAAATGTATCTGGGACCTGCAAAGGACAGTGACCGGAGTGATTGACAGACTGACCACAGCAGCGTAGCAGAGACAGTGGCTGTCAGTCAGAGCTAATGAGCAGCTGCTGTCAGACTCTCCATGTTCACGCTGGAAACACAGAGAGTCCGGTGGAGATTTTACAGTCACTCAAAGCTCTTTGATAGCCGTTTTTAAAAGTTTCTGTGTGTATTCTGTGTTGTGGCTGAGTTAACGACTGTGTTGTAGCTAAGCTAGCGGCTCAGAGAGACTAACTATCTGGTGTGTGTGTGTGTGTGTGTGTGTGTGTGTGTTTCTGTGCGAGGGATCAAGGTAAACTGCTGGTGTCTCCATAGCCGTCTAAAGCACACGTCTAAACCACTGCACCAGAATAGAAAAATACTAAGTCGAGGGTTAGCAAAAACTAGCATAAACTCCTGTGAATGATGCATCTCGGTCAGTATACATTATATATTATATATTATATATATAAAAATAATACTTATTAATTCACTTTACAGCTCAAAACACGTTTTTAGGGTGGAAGTACCTCCTTTAAATCAAACTGAATAACACAGAGCCACCGATGTTCATGGTTTATGTGTGTTTGTGTGGTGCGATAAGGACGTGTGGGTGGCCAAGCTGGGCTGGCTTGAATTTCTACTCTGTCAGAAAGAGCCAAGATGGCCAATTTAATCATTCATTAATTATTGACGGACAAGTTGCCTTGGCAGAACCCACCCACTGGCTTGATACTCTCCGGGGCGGGTGGCCAGAATAAACCACTCGATGGTTTGCATATTTCCAAAGGAAGGCAGACAGGAGATCTATGTTATATAAATTATAAAACAGATTAAATCAAAACAAAACTAGGAAGCCTACAGTGAGTTCTTCTGAGCTGGTCTAGCTACTTTGAAAAGATAATGGATGATAATGATGTGTGTGTTTGAAAAGAACTGGCTGCAGAATTCCCAACAGATCAAAGAAGAACACCAAAGGTACACATTATTCATTATTATGTGTGAAGGGAATGGCTTAATAACAAGAATCCACTGTCTGGGTACATTGAAATGAAGTGATAACTTAGAAAATGCCTAATGTGCAACAGCATATGAAGAAGCAAGTTGCTGCAAACCTAATAAATATACAGCAGATTTGTTACATCTAATGGACATGCATGGTCATCAAAGATTAGAGTGTAGCAATCTACATTGTAAGTTTTTTTTTTTTTTTTTTAAATCTCCATTGTGCTTTGCAATTTCTGGTTCCCCTTAACAAGCAGAAGGTAAAGGGACTAGAGCTTCCAAAAACGATTAGTCCAAAATGAATCAATTAAATTGCCCAAGTAATTTTGATAATAAATGAAACTGTTTTTTTTTTTGGGGTTTATTTAGTGTTCTATGACCCAGTAAAACTGTATATCTTCTGGTTTTGTGGAGCAAAACCAAATAAACAAGACATTTGAGGACGTGACCTTGGGCTTTAAGAAACAAAATCTTCTGGCCAAACAACTAATTGACAGATTAATTGGTAATGAAAATAATAATCATTATTTGCAGGCCTAAAAGGGACCACTAACATATTTTAGCCCTGAAATTATGTATTTATCTTTCTAAGGCCAATGACCTGTTTCCTGTGTCTGAATGAATGATAATATTTTGATGCAGCAAACTTAACTGATAGCAAGTGTACAAACAGGATAAACACAGCTTGTTGCCAAACAAAGACAAATGAACAAGTGGCTAATTAATTTGACTAAATCAATTAATAAATGCTTTTTTCAATTTCAAGTTGGAAAACCACCATCAAACTACCATCTAAGCTAGATGGTAGATTGATTCTTTATCAGCTCAGTATTCTACATTTTATGCTACTGATGTGAAATGTGCTGGACTAGAAACCTCTTGTAATTTAAAAAACAAATTTTACGGAGGACTTAATACCTGGTAGGAATGTTTTTTACGCTGTGACCTACGCATGCATTTGAACTATTTCCGTTTTCAGTATGCTCACTATGTTAAATTGGAGAAGGCTGCAGATGCGATATGTTATGTCTGATCCTCTGAAGCTAAGTCCGTACCTTGGTGTGTGCGATGAGCAGACAGTTGGAGTGCTCGTGTTCGCAGGCGATCTCATACTGTGGCAACATGTCAGCCAGCTGCTGGACGAAGGCAACCACTTCCTGGTGCCAGGGGACGTTAGCCATGGTCAGACTGCTGGCAGAGCTTTCACCGCAGTACGTCACTCCCTGCACACACAAAAAAAAAGCACAGAAAAGACCAGGCGTTATAATTTACTAACTCATTTCTCCTACTATATACTTTTGCAAAACAGGTCTTCCTTTAAAAAATGCATGACATGTACTGGATTTTGAGGCTGATAACAATATTGCAACTCTAAAAATGATAAACTGGGCAATATTTGGTTTTTACTACAAGGAATTACTAAAATTTTGATTAAAAAACGTTTTCCAAGAAATCCTTGAATCACATTATTAAAGAATTGACAGATCTGTACTGAAGCAAGATACTGCTGATTCTGCCAATTAACTTTTAGATGACAATAACAAAACATAGTAATAGCACATTTTGAACATTAAATCTAATTGAAAACACAAATACAACAATCAGTTGGTTCAAGAAAAATAATGGATAAAAATGCAGCCTGTTCAACATTTAAAGTTCATTTATAGTGCTATTCGCAGGTTCATACCAACATATCACAACAACAACAAGCTAAAAAGTAACTCAGTCATCTGGCGTCTTTGCTACTTGGCCCTATGGTAAAACACAATGTTTAGGTCCATTGACTGACAGCAAGTGATATTGCATTTTACTGCTCATGGAGCATATACTATAAAGGCTTTATCCTTTATAGTAGTCCATAAAGGCTCACACACAAATAGTTAATCATAGAGATTATTTGGGCTGCAATCTTATGTAACCTTCCATAAATAATGATGGAAGGCTAGAAAAAGGCCAGAAATGAAG